CCGCGTGCTCGAGCGCCTCGCGCGCCGCGGCGTCGCGCGGGCCAACCTCGCCGCTGCCAGACGCGGCGAAAGCGACGTTGCCCAGCCATAGCACTGCCGAGACGAGGCGCAGGATCGCCGACTGCGTCTCCTCCGCGAGCCCGACCGCCGCCATCGCCTACAGGAAGGTTCCGAGAAGGCTCCGAGAAGGTTCCGTGCGCCTGCTCCGCCCGACCGCCGCCATCGCCGAGCGCATCGCGCCGTACTCGCGCGCATCGTCAAGGCCACGCACGGTGGCGCATCCGGACCTGTGGCATGGGTGGGAGCAGGGTCGCAGTGTGTCGAGAGCACCGCGTGCACACAGGGGCTACGAACACGGCGGCCACAGTTGAAAGCAGTGCAAGTCGGAACACACGTGTCTGTTCCGGGTCGCGCACCGCTGCAGCATTGCGTACCCACCGGCTGGAGCGAGGCGGAGGGCTTTCCGCTCGGCATCGGACGCGCCCGCGAGAAGGTAGTAGAAGACGTGGAAGGAGCGCTCGCCTAGTTCGCCATTAGTTGGTCATAGCTAGGTTCGGGTGGCAGAAGACGACGGAAGGAGCGCGAGTCGCCGCTGGCTGGGGTCAGCACGCGCGGCTTCTCGAGCAGGTAGTTTGTCACGCGGCCGCCGACAATGCCCCCGGAGGGCGAGAGCTCGACCGTCATGTACTTGCCGAAGCGCGACGAGTTGTCGTTGCGCACCGTCTTTGCGTTCCCAAACGCCTCGAGGAGCGGGTTCGAGCCGAGCAGCTTCTCGTGGATGGGACTGCGCGAGGCAGTGGCGCCGCCGCCGCTGGAAGAGGATGTCGCAGCAATGTACTCGAGCAGGCGCTTGGCCGCCTCCGTCTTGCCCGCGCCGCTCTCGCCGCTCACCAGGATGCACTGCCGAGAGCACGCGCCGCCGGCGTGGCTCGCCTTGAGAGCGGTGTCGGCCACGGCAAAGACGTGAGGCGGAAGCTCGTGTCGCGTCTGGTACTTGTTTCGCAGGCCGACGCTGTACAGGCCGTCGATGGGCTTGAAGGGGTTGACCGAGATCACCACAGGGCCAAGCCCGGTGTATATGCGGCCCTTCTTGAATAGAGCTTCAAGGTTGGCGACGACAGCCGCCTCGCCCACCTCCTCGAGCAGGACGAGGTCGTCAACGCATCCAGCGGTGAGGAGCCGGGCGTCCATTTGTGGTGCCGCCGAGCAGAGCGAGCGGGACTGAATGGAGAGCACTTTCAACGAATGGCGAGCGGTCGCGGCAACTTCAGTCGCATTTTTTGGTTTTTCTTTTTTGTGACCGACGCGGTTTTCTTTTTTTCTCGGTTTTTTTCTAAAATGGAAGATACAGAGACGGCCCAGGAGACGGAGCAACCCCGGATTTCTTCCTTGCCGGCCACCATTCTGTCAATGCTGGCCGTGCTCCTCTGCGCCGCAACAAGCACTTCCGCCTTCTCGGGCCGCGCATTCGTGCGCTGTCCGTCTCCGCGGGTGCGTCCCGCTCTCCTTCAGTTCGGCGGCGAGCGCGATGCGGCGGCGAGGGCGGCGGCGAGAGCGGCACGAGCCGGCCGACTCGCACAGGACTTGCCTCCGGCGCCCGAGGCGGATGCCATCGCCGCGCAGTCCGTCGCACAGCGCCTGCGGGGCGCGCGGGCACCGGAAGGTGCAGCTCCGCAGCTGCTGGATAGCGATGATGTCGCGAACGTGCTCGGCGAGTTTGCGAGGAGCGACTACGTGCGACAGCTCTGCGACTACTGCAATGTGCAGCCGACGGACTATGGCACGATCCGGTGCCTCTTCAAGTCCGTGCGGACCGATGGCGCAAAGCTCGTTGTGAAGCTCAATCCCACGGTCGAGCAGCGTAGCGAGAAGCTGCTCGATCGGCTGAAGAAGCACCTCCGAGCAACGATGCCGGCGATCAAACAGATTCACTACGAGCAGGGGTCTCCGCCCACGACGCGGACCATCATTGTTTGAGAGCAAGCGTCGGGGGTCTCCGCAGATTGTGGATACACGGAGAGACGTCTTACTTACTTAGTTTGCGCGAGAGCGGAATCTCTCTCTCTCGAGTCTCGTCACGTTCTCTATTCTCTTTCGGCTGACCTCGGTCTAGCGCTGTTGGGCCCCTCTAGGTGTACGTGTACAGGTGGCCTCGCTCTGACCTCTGTTTGCCAGCGGAGTTCACCACAAAACAAAGCAAAGTCGAAGTCCGTAGTCCCGACCCACGACTCGTCTCACCTGCCTCCGCGGCGTCGCCGTGCGTTGTGCCCACAACACAAAAAAAGTCACAACAACGTTCACAGCTGCTGCAAGGTGTCACCCACGACGCACGAAAGGAGCGCTGCCGAGCGAGAGGAGGGCCCGCCTGCACAGGCCGCCGGCCGCCGCCACGCTGCTCTCCACGAGCCCGAGCGACGCCGTGGCCCGGCCGGCGGAACGAGCAGCGCGCACGCCCTCGCCGACCGTGCCGGCGCCGGACTGCGGCATTGCGCGACACGCGCGGCTCCCTCGCCCGGGCGCCCCTCCCGCGCCGCCTGGGCGAGCGCCCGCGGGCTAGTCCTCGATGCCGGTGAGCCCGTCCTCGGGCGCGGGGAAGTCGTCTGGCATGATAGTCATCAGCTCGTCCTCCGACACCTGCTCACACGGGCAGCTGCTGAAGAGACGCCGCTCACAGCCACGGCGGTCGTCGGCTCGTCCTCCGACACCATCCCGTTGGACGAGGGAGACATCTGTCGCGCGCGCGGGGGGGGGGGGGGGGACGTCAAAGGAAGCACTGGGAGGAGTCCAGGGAGGAGTCCAAGGAGCACGGTGTGTGAGCGGTGTTTCTGCGGTGTGTCTGCGGCGTGTGAGCGGTGTGTCTGCGGCGTGTGAGCGGCGTGTGAGCGGCGTGTGAGCGGCGTGTGAGCGGCGTGTCTGCGGTGTGTCTGCGGCGTGTGAGCGGCGTGTCTGCGGTGTGTCTCGCCTTCTCGTTGAAGACGCGGATGGCGGAGCCCATGCGCGCGAGGTCGATCGCGTTGCGCACCTGCGTGCGCACGGAGGGCGGGGCTTGAGGTTATGACTCTGCGCAGGCAATGTCTCTCTTTCCGTCTGCCTCGTGACGAGACTCCGGGAGGGTAGCAGCACAGAGGCAGAGGCACCGCAGTGCTGCGACGGAGGACATGGTCCTTGGTCCGTGGGCTGCGCATCTGAGGTGCGCACCGTGCGCGCGTTGGCAAAGAAGGGCATGCGCTTGCGCTTGGAGAGGTAGTCCTTGAGCGCCGGCTCCGCGCCTGCACGAGAAGGGTGCGCGAAGGGTCCGGGAAGGGTCCGAGAGGAGGCTGCTGCTCGAGCTGCTCCGCGCCAGGGCCGAGCTTGTACTCGAGCTCGCGGCACATCACCTGCTCGCCGGGGGGGGGGGGGGGGGGGGGATCCCCGGGGGGTTGACACGGCGTCAAAAACACAGCGGGCGGGGCGGCCGCCGTTTTTCCCGGGGCCTGGGGCGCCCTGGGGGGCGTCCCGACTCTTGGGGGCTCCGGGGGAAACCTTTTCAATTTCGAAAAAGTCGTCGTCCTCGTAATCTGGGAACTCCATGTGGTTGCCGATGCCCGAAACCATTCCTGCGAGGGCCGAAAAGGCACACCCCGGAGGGAGCCCAGGGGGTTGCCCCCGAACTAGGAGGTGGTTGCTCTGGCGATGGCGAGGGCGGCGGCGGCGCAAGCGGTGGCGGCGCAAGCGGTGGCGGCGGCGAAGGCGAGAGCGAGCGCGGCGGCGGCGAGGGCGGCGCGGAGGGGGCGGCGGCCAGCGGCGTGGGCGGCGGCGGCGGGAGATCGCGCCTTTTTGACCATCTCCTTGGTCTTTGGCGCCTACGGGGCGTGTCTCGGACGTGTCGTGGACGTGTCCTCGACCTCCCGACCGCCTGCCCGGCCTCGGGCGCCGTGTGGCCCACGTACTGCCCCACCAGGTCGTCGCGCGTCGCGACGACCACGTGCCCCGTGCGGCAGTAGCCCATCCGCTGCAGGATCTGGCCCATGCGCAGCGCGACCGTCGTCTTGCCGGTGCCGGGCGCGCCTGCAGGAAGGGTCCGAGAGGCTTGCGCGAAGGGTCCGAGAAGGGTGCGAGGTCTCTCCCTGCCGCGCCGGTGAAGCCCATGTGCAGCGACGGGACCGACGTCTCGAGCCCCAGCTTGAGCCGCATCTTGTCCACAACCAGCAGCGACGCGATCTCGCGCACGCGCTGCTTGACCGGCGTCAGCCCGATCAGGTCGTAGTCGAGCTTCTCGAGGATGTCCTTGACGCCCTCCTTGTACATGAAGTCGTCGACGGTGCCAGCCTTGACGTCGTCGGGGATCTGCGTCAGCAGCGCCACCTTGCGCGCGCGCTCCTCGCGAGCGCGCTGCACCGCCTCCTCCCGCGCCGCGATCGCCTCGCTCTCCAGCCTCCGCTCAATGTCAGCCTCCTTGAGCTTGTCGGAGAGCTTTGCTGTTTTGAAGTTGGGATCGTTTTCCACGCCGCCCCACTGCAGGCCCGGGCCGCCGCTGCCGCCTATCCCCGCCGCCGCCCCGCCGCCCTGCATGCAGACCGCCGCGCGGCCGGCGGCCGGCGCAGGCAGCGCTGCCGGCGACAGCGCAGCTGCGCCGGTGGCGAAGGCAGCGCAGATGGAGAGAGCCTGCGAGGGCAGGGCCGGTGGGCGCCTCAGTCGGGTGCGGAGTGGCGGCGGTCGTGGATGGGTGATGCGGGCTGGAATATCAACTCAGATCACCATTCTCGTCGACCTTCTCAGCGAAAGAATTCGCGTCTCAGGCGGGGGGGGAGCACAAACATAGGACGCCCAGCCTTGCCCTCGTGCCGCCGAGTGCGTATCCTATGCGAGAGAGATCCCCTGTGCCCTGTGCCCAGCCCTCTCCGCGCGGCGATGCGCCCTCCCCCCTCGCTTTTGCAAAATCCTGCAAAGGTGGGGACGTGTCTGTCCTCGACCCAGCCCTAGCTTGGGATGTCCGTTGTATTTATTTATTTATGTGCCATCCCTCGTTTGGTTTTTGTGCGTCTGTGTTCGTGCGTCGCCCATCTCTCCAGGACATAACTGCTCTATTTATTTATACGCGCTCACCATGTGGTCGTTCAGGGCGGCTCGCACAGCGCCCGCACACGCACGCACGCACGCACGCGGCACGCACACACACACGCACGCGCGCGCGCGCGCGCACACACACACACACACACACACACACACACACACACACACACACACACACACACACACACAAACTGGGCACGGGACTGGCGCGCACTGGCACTAACACGGGTACACTACGGGAGGGCGAGCCGAGCTCCCGTACCACGCGGAATCGAGGCACTTAGCTCCGTGCACTCGCCCGCCCCCGCCACAGGCAAGCTCATTCACACACAATCTGCTCTGCGCTTGCCGTGTGAATGAAGAGCGACCGAGATGCGCTGCTTCTCAACAAGAGAGGCACCGCCGCGGCGGTGCCAAGGTGAGAGGGGCCACCACAGCTCCCTACTCCGTCTCGCGTGTGATCGCGAAGCGCAGCACGCACGTGACAAAGTCGCGCGCCGCGATGCCGTTCGTGCTTCCTGCCGAGTCGAGGTGGTACCGCTCGTGGATCTCGTAGAGCGAGAGGACGAGGAGTGCCGCCCGCGCGCGCGCCGCCGCGGGGAAGAGCGAGTGGCTTGCCGGCGACCACGGCGCCGCCGCCCGCCGGATCAGCGCCGCCGCCTCGCCCTCGCCGCCCGCGGCACGCCGCAGCGGCGTCGGCTCGCCCTCGTGCAAGCTTGCGCCGCTGCGCAGGAGGGAGGTGGCGCGGGCGGCGGTGAGGGTCTCAAGGTGCGCGAGCGGCGTCCAGCCGCGGCTGGCGACCAGCCAGGCGGCGAGGTCGGCGTGGCCTTCTTCGGTTGCAACCTCCTCGGGCGTGCCGAAGGGCGTAGCGGCGCGGGAGGCGCCGTAGGAGGAGAGGAGCTTGGCGACCTCGAGGTGACCCTGGTGGCACGCCATGGACAGCGGCGTGACGCCGTTGTTGCGGGCTTGGCTGACCGAAGCGCCAGCCTCAAGAAGCAGCCCGGCGCACTCGACGTAGCCGTTCTGGCACGCCATGTACAGCGGCGTGGTGCCGTCGCTCATTGCTTGGCCGACCGCTGCGCCCGCGTCGCGCAGTAGCTTCGCGATCTCGACGTGGCCGTGCTGGCACGCGATGAGCAGCGGCGTGGTGCCGTTGTTGCGGGCTTGGCCGACCACCGCGCCGGCCTCGAGAAGCAGCCGGGCGATGTCGACGTGGCCCTTCTGGCACGCCTTGTACAGCGGCGTGGCGCCGTTGTTGCGGGCTTGGCTGACCGAAGCGCCGGCCTCGAGAAGCAGCCGGACGATGTCGACGCGGCCCTCTTGGCATGCGATGAACAGCGGCGTGGCGCCGTTGTTGCGGGCTTGGCTGACCGAAGCGCCAGCCTCAAGAAGCAGCCCGGCGCACTCGACGTAGCCGTTCTGGCACGCGATGAAGAGCGGCGTAACGCCGTCCTCATCGGCCTGATTGACTGCCGCGCTGGCCTCGAGGAGCAACCGGGCGATCTCGAGGTGGCCCTTCTGGCACGCGATGAACAGCGGCGTGGCGCCGGTGTCCGTGGCTTGGTTGACCGCCGCGCCAGCGTCGCGCAGCAGCCGCGCGATCTCGAGGTGGCCGAAGTGGCACGCGATGAGCAGCGGCGTGGCGCCTTGGGTCTCGGCTTGGTCCTTCGCCGCGCCCGACTCGAGAAGCAGCCGGGCAACGTCGAGGAGGCCGTTCTGGCACGCCATGTACAGCGGCGTGAAGCCGCCCTCACCGGCCTGATTGATCGCCGCGCCGGCCTCGAGGAGCAGCCGGACGCAATCGAGGTGGCCTTGCTGGCACGCCATGTACAGCGGCGTGAAGCCGTCCTCACCGGCCTGGTTGAGCGAAGCGCCAGCGTCGCGCAGCAGCCGGGCGACGTCGAGGTGGCCCTTCTCGCACGCGATGTACAGCGGCGTGGTGCCGTTCTCCTGGGCCTGGTTGACCGCCGCGCTCGCCTCGAGAAGCAGCCGGGCGACCTCGGGGTGGTTGTTCTGGCTCGCAATGTACAGCGGCGTGGTGCCATTCGCCGCGGCTTGGGTGACCGCAGCGCCAGCCTCGAGGAGCAGCCGGGCGATCTCGAGGTGGCCGTACTGGCTCGCAATGTACAGCGGCGTGGCGCCGTTCTGCTTGGCTTGGCTGACCGCTGCACCAGCCTCGAGAAGCAGCCGAGCGATCTCGAGGTGGCCCTTCACGCACGCAATAAACAGCGGCGTGGCGCCGTTCTGCTTGGCTTGGCTGACCGCTGCACCAGCCTCGAGAAGCAGCCGAGCGATCTCGAGGTGGCCCTTCACGCACGCGATATACAGCGGCGTGGCGCCGCTGCCATTCGTCGCCCCGACGCTCGCGCCGGCTTCGAGCAGCAGCCGCACCGCCTCGGCCTGCCCGTGACAAGCGGCCCAGGTGAGCAGCGTGTCCTGCGTGTCGGTGTCGAGCCGCGCGTCGAGCGTGCCGCGCGTCCGCGGATAGGAGAGGAGGGCGCGCAGCGAGCCCAAGTTGCCCACGGCCAGCTCGGCCCAGCTCATAGACTGGTTCCACAATAGATTTAGCCCTGCGGCCACGTCATGGGGCCATTCGAAGTGCCGCGGCCGGCTAGCTCGTGACGGCCCGAGTCCGAGGGTTGCAGCCGTGAGGCTCGGGCCCTGGGTGCAGTCTGAGGCCCCACGCCTGTCGCTCGGGCGCGGAGGCGAGCCACGAGCGCATTCGGTACCCAGGTCACGCATCTTTCCACGCCCTCATTCGAGCGACATCGCGGACACAACACTGCCTCACGCCCTTACTCTATTGCTGCTAGGCTACTCAAGCGAGACCTGGTGGCAATCCCGTCTGGCCAGCTCGACACGCCGCTTCGCGCAGGTATCGCGCCAGGCCCTGCCACCGCTCGCCGCCTCGCCGGCACGCTCGCGCTCTCCACAGATCCAATGCGCGCGAATACTCCGACCGGCGCGCACACCCACTCCGCCGCCGCCGCTCATGCGACCGCAACGCCGCGCCGCGACGTGCGCACCGCACGCAACCGCACGCAGCGACGCTTACCCGTCGGCCGTGGCACGCCGGCTCACGCATATCACATTGGTCATATTGTGCCGCAGGCGTTTGGCTCTCCCATGCGCCATGGCGCTCGGCGACGGGCACATGCTCGGCGGCGAGCAGGCGGCGAGCTGCATGGAATACGGCGTGGTGTCGGCGTCGACCATGGCGTGCCACGCCGCAAGACACACGCTGTGCGTCGCCTCAAAACCTCGGAGGCTGTCTGACAGCTAGCCCCGCCAGAATCACGCAGAATATTTTTACTATATACACGCAGGGTGAAACACGCACGCAGACACGCAGAGGCACGCCGTGCGGAGTCGAGTCTCGGCTCTTTGTCCGTTCGTACTTAAGTACAAGTACCTTCTCCATATTATATGTCGTCACCGTAGCCCCCGTGGCCGTGCCAGCACACTGACGTTGTGTCCCGCGGGTGCTGACACCTCTCTGCGAGGAAGCGATACTCTTCCAGCGTGCCAACGTGGCACGTTGAATGCTGGACACATCGAGCCTGCAACGGCACTGCCGCGTACACCGATCGGCACCGCCCTCGAAATAGGAGAGCCTAACCAGGAACGCCAAACGCCTGCGGCACAATGGCCAATGCGTGAGCCAGCGAGACGGCCGACGGGTAAGCGGCGCTGCGTGCGGTGCGCACGTCGCGGCGCGGCGTTGCGGTCGCGTGAGCGGCGGGCGCGGGCGTTGGTCTGCGTGCGTGAGTTCGCGCGGCTGTGTGTCTCTCCGGAGAGCGGAGCGCGAGCGTGCCGGCGAGGCGGCGAGCGGTGGCAGGGCCTGGCGCGAACCTGCGCGAAGCGGCGTGTTGAGCTGGCCAGACGGGATTGCCACCAGGTCTCGCTTGAGTAGCCTAGCAGCAATAGAGTAAGGGCGTGAGGCAGTGTTGTGTCCGCGATGTCGCTCGATCGCTCGAATGAGGGCGTGGAAAGATGCGTGACCTGGGTACCGAATGCGCTCGTGGCTCGCCTCCGCGCCCGAGCGACAGGCGTGGGGCCTCAGACTGCACCCAGGGCCCGAGCCTCACGGCTGCAATCCTCGGACTCGGGCCGTCACGAGCTAGCCGGCCGCGGCACTTCGAATGGCCCCATGACGTGGCCGCAGGGCTAAACCAATGTGGAACCAGTCTATATCATACATCACACGCCAGAAAGAAGAAAAACATCGGGATTTGCCACCTTGTTCTCTCCTCCTCCGAAGCGAGAATCGGAGAGAGACTGCGAAGAGAGATAGGAAGAGGCAGACTCCCTAGGGTAGGCGACGGCTAGCGCAGCACACTCCTCTCCTTAAATCCCTGTGTGGTGGCGGCGTGCCGTTCTCCCATCCCTCCCTTGGGTTGTCTGTTTTCTTTCTTTCTTTCTTTTCTCCTCCTCCGACCTTCATGCCACCTTCAGGAGAGAATTTTATATTCCGGCGGTCGCACGACACGCTCCATTGCGCATTGGCCTGTGTACGCGCTTTTCTCTGCATAGGCTGTCTATATTCTTCTCTGGCGACCTTCTCAGCGCCGAGAATTTATCGCCCCGCCGAGCCGCACGCGCTTGACGGCGAGGCGGCTGGTGCTGCAAACACGTCCGTGGCCGCAAACACGTCCGAGAAGGAGCCCTCACCGACTTTGGTGCCGAGTAGGACGGTACCGCCACCGCTGCCCTCGCACTTTTCGCTGCGAGCGGTGAAGGCCGCGCGGAGGTGCCAGCGAGCGGCGTTGAAGCAGTCGGAGATCATTGGAGTGGAGACACAGACGGGAGTGATCTGTGAGGGTCCGCCCGCAGGCGCGTTTTGTATACCGAGGCGGTGCCCGGTGCCGAGCGCAGGCCGGAGCCCACAGGTCGGACCTTAAGACAGCGTTGTAGATCCCTGGGCGAGGGTGGTGGCGTCCCCGTCGGGTCAGGGCTGAAGGCGGGGGAGACCAACCCGATCTCTCCGGCGTCCCGGGAGCGTGATTGACACCTCCCCCCGTGCCAACAGCCCCATGGAGGTAGGCCGCTCGTCTAGCCAATCAGCCTTAAGCGAGCGGCCTGGCCGTTGGAATGGCCGAGTTTGGCGTGGACTTGCGTCCTCGCGTCGATCGTGGTTACAAGTTCCAGTATTGTTATGAACAGTTATGAACACCGAACACGGCACTGGGCGGAGTCGGCCTTACGGCACGACTGCAGTCACTGAGACTGCCCGCCCTTGCCCTCGCACTAGACTGTATGTTCCTTTGCTCTTTGTGCCCGCCTTCTGTTTCCTCCCTTGCCCGCTCTTCTTTTATGCTGTGTCGTCGGATCCTCGTCATGCTGCCGGCTCGTCCCCTCTCCCTGACTCATCGAATCGCTCCGTTCGTTCTCAAATCGCCCCCGCTTCCTCGGCGGCCGGGATGCCTCGTGCTCTGGCTGTTCTTCGTCTACGTCCATCACTGTAAATTCGTCGTCTGCCTGGCTGCCAGACGGGAGTGGATTACGTAGAGCTAAATTCACGACACTGGCACGGGACTGCCCCACTGGCACTATGCACAGGAGACACAGGGTGGATGGACGCGGTCGGCCACCCGTCAGCGTCAGAAGAATGTGGTGCGCGAAAACGGAAGAAAACGTCGGCGTAACGCCATCCACACACCTTGCCTTGCGGCGGCGCACCGCGAAGGAGAATGGGCAACGCCGCCGCGACGCTCGCCATATCGCTCGACCAGGAGGCGGCCTACTCGGGAGGAAGCCTCAGCGGCCGCGCCTACCTCTACGTCAAGGAGGAGATCAAGTGCACCGCGCTCCAGCTCGAGGTCTTCGGCGCGGAGTTTTCTCACGTGCACTGGACGACACAAGAGACCCATGGCTCGGGGGAGAACAGGAAGACGGTCACCAAGCACCACCATGCATACGCACGCCGTCACCTCCTCCGCGTCGTCGTGACGCTCGCCTCCTTTCCGAACGGTTCGCTGCCACCCGGCTCGTACGAGTTCCCCTTCTCGCTTGTGCTCCCGTCAGGCCTTCCGAGCTCGATGTACGCGGCTGGCGGCGGCGGAAGCTGCAAGATATCGTACAGCGTCAAGGCAAGGCTCTACCGCCGCGAGTGGCACAAGTTTGACATCCGCGCAAAGCGACCGCTCCTCGTCTCGGCCGCGCCCTTCCCTCCCGAGCCGGTGCCGTATTTTGCCTCGCCTCACACGGTGCCCATCAACACGTTCTGCTGCATCCCCAACGGCACAATCACACTCGGCGCGGTGGCCGACGACACGCGCCTCTCGCGCGGCGAGACGTTTGGCGTCGGCGTCGCGGTCGACAACTCGTCCACAGCCCAGATCAACAGCGTCTCCGTGAAAGTCAAGGAGTTTGTGAGCTGGCGCGCCGGCGGCCACTCCAACCACGAGTGGCGCACGGTGGTGGCCGCCTCCTTCGACCCGCTGACGCTGCAGGGGGCGGCCAAGAAGGCCAGCGCGGACATCAAGGCGGCCGCCTCGCCTGGCGAGGCACGCGATGCAGTGCTGCACCGCTTGTACGAGACGCTGCACTCGGGCTCTCAGCGCTCGAGCCTTGCCATCCCGCCGACGGCGCGCGACACGTACCAGGGCTCCGTCCTCTCGGTGCGCCACCGCATGCTCCTCCGGGCGACGACGGGCTGCTGCGTCACCGACCCAGAGCTCGACTTGCCCGTCTGCATCGGGCCTCCGCCTCTGCTTGGCGGCGGCCCCGCCGGCTACCCTGCGGTGCCCATGGGCGTGCCGGTGGTGGCGCTGCCCGTCCCCATCCCGCCCGAAGAGGAGGCCGCCTCGGCGCAGTCCTTCACGAAGCCCGACGGCTGGGACGGCCACGTCGTCATCGCCGAGGTGATGGGCCTCCCAACCAGAGGCGGTACAGACGCCGCCGCGGACACATGAACATGAGCCGGACGCGTCCCATAGGCGGTCGTCCTTCCGATGGGCGAGGCGGTCGTCGGCGGCGAGGCCGTCGCCTCGGGCGTGGACCCTGCCGGCGACGTGTCGGAAGCCATCGCCGTGCCCGAGTCCGCGCCGCCGCCGCCGCCCGGCACGCTGCAGGCGCTGCGCCACCTCTTCGACACGAACGTCGACGACAGGCGCATGGTACGCGGCCTCGTGCAGGACCCGGGACAGCAGCCGCTCTGGCAGCCGCTGCTCTCCGCCCTCACCGTCGAGCAGTACGCCGAGTGTGTCGGGCGGACAGGCCTCGAGTACGACAGGCCAGAGGTGGCGTCCCTCCTCGGCGAGCAGCTGGCCTCCGGCCTCACCTCGGCCCACGTCGCCGCGGCTCTGCGCACGACCACCGCGTACAAGACGCAACTCGTGCGCCGCGTCGCACGCCAGGTCGTTGACCTCGCGGCGGGCCGTCGGACGATCGAGGCAGAGCTGAGCGAATGGGAGAGGATGCTGGCGAGGACCGATCTAGACGCCGCCTCGAAGTGAGGGAGTGCAGGTGAGCATCGACGAATATACGTCAACTTGTATACGTCAACTTGTATACGGGCTTCACCTCACAGCACACTCGTGCACACAGCAGTACGCATTTTGTAAGAGTTGATCTATAGAGGGATCCTAGAGTTACTGTACCACACGCATCTCGAGGGCTTTCGCGACAGCGACGATGTCGATGACGACGAAGGAGAGAAGGCGGGCGAGGAGAGCGGAGGGGCGCGTTGGCGCGATGTCGCAGGAGGAGCGAAATCGCGAACGGCCCGAGCAGAAGGGGCCCTTGCAAGGGGGCGACGGCGGGGCACGAGGGGGCAACGGAGACGCTACCGATGACGCGAACCGAGGCACGGGCGATAGGTAGGTAGGTAGTTCCCTAACAACGAGCCAAGAATAAAGAAAAATCAGGTGCGATGACGGCACGCTGCTAGGTAGCTGCCGCCGCCCAGAACGAGACAAGGCACAATGCTCACCGCTCCTCCTCGTTCAAGCCGCTCGACACGACGTCTTGCTGTTTATCTTGCTGATGTAGCCGCCTTGCTGTGCGTTGCCGCGCTGCTGCTGCACTTCCAAAATGGGGGCCGGCCGACGCCGAGCGAGCAGTGGAATGGCGAAAGCCGGCAGGCGTCGGCGCTCGTCGCCGCCAACTTCGCCACTTACGTCAGGACAGACCTCGGCACGCCCGGCCAGGGCGGCCGCAACGACTACCGCCCGCCAGCCGCTGTGGCCACGATCAAAGACACGATCCACGCGGCGATCCCCGTCGTACGCGAGGCGAGTGAGTACGCTGCCGTACGCGCTCTGCTGCGGCAACTGGGCGGCGCGCCTGCGCTGCTCGGCGAGCTCGAGGCGCTGGGGTTCGTGAGTGAGGGCCGCCTGACGACCGGCACCAAGCCGCTCAACGTCTTCGCACGCGTGGCAGCGGGCGTGGTGACACAGCCGGGGATGGAGGCAGAGCAGGCGAACCTTGGCGCCCACGGCCAGCGATTCATGATCGCGTGCAACCTGCCCGAGAACGAAGAACACTGGTCGAGCACCGCGCCCGAGTGGGTAGGTCGAGCGTCGATGGGGCAGCGGCATCGCTTCATGCTTGTGCGCAAGCTGCACTACACAGACCCACTCTCGGGCCAAAATAATTAGGCTGATTATCAGGCTAATCTCGCCATCACAGCCAGGTAATCGCCTCTCTCGATCTCTCGATCCATGCCTCTCTCCATCAAATATCTCATCACACACACCTCTCGCTCCTCTATCATACACACCTCTCGCTCAGCTAGATCTCAATCACACACACCTCTCAAAAGCTGCACTACAGATCCACGCGAAGCCACATAATTAGGCTGGTTATCAGCGCCTCTAGCGTGGCTGATAGCGCACGATAACCACGAGCTATGATGCAATGATCCAGCTAACTATTAGGTGCGTAACCTGTCGTGGAGCCTCTTCAACGTGGCAGCCTTGGGCCTCGGAAATGCACAGCAGGTGTCCCTGCAACCGAACCAAGTATTAATACACCCAATCCTCTATCGGAGCTCTCGCCGGCGCCTGCCCTCTCCTCGCCTCCACAATCGTGCCTCCGCGCCACCTTGCCCCGGCAGCTGCGTGCGGCGGTGGAAATGGTGGAGGCGATGGAGGTGGCGGCGCTGCTCTACGCCTCGAAAACTCCGGCCTGGTCGACCGGCCTCGGCATGTACTTCCACGTCTACGGCCACGCGTCGGTCAACGCGCTCCACCTGCACCTAGTCGACCTGAATGCGACGGGTCCTACCTTCGAGGCGCTGAGGTACAAGAATCTGCCGCTGCAGGCCGTGCTGCACGTGCTTCGCAAGGAGCTGCACGGCGGATGAAACACAGGGGGAGGGCGGAGGCGATCCCTAGGGCGATCCCTGATCAGTCGCCGTTAGGTCTTTGTTAACGGGGGCGGGGGGCGTTGTCCGTTGACGAGAGGGGGATCGTGTTCAATATGCTCCACGTGTGCATGTGCATGTGCATGTGCGTGCACATGTCCATGTGTGGAAGAGTAGGCGGGCCCCGATGCGTGCAAGCGGGCCCCACGATGCGTGCCGGCACTAGTAGTCCTCAAATGCGAGCAGCGTGGGGCAGCCGACCACCACACCCGGGCACTGATAACCCACTGAGAGCCCGACCAGCAGCCGGTCGCCAGAGAGGCACGCGCTCGTCGCCAACACCCCCGAGTCGCGCTCGCCGTCCGGCCCGCCGCGCGGCGCCCGACTCGCCCTCGTGGCCCACGAGCCGCAGCGTCTGCACTGTGAGCGGGTAAAGCGCGGCAGCCTGGGGAAGAGGGAGGGGGTGGGTGGGTGGGGGGGGGGGGTGGATGAAGGTAGGAATGAGCACGTTGCACATAACGTCACGTTGCACTTGGACGTTGCACCCCCCCCCACACACACACCCGGCCGATCGGGCTCAGGTCGTGCCACAGCCGTGTGGGAGAGAGAGAGAGAGAGTGAGGCGGGGCGGGGTAGTCAGGGCGCGTGTGGGTGTCTGTGGGGTGGCAGAGAGGGCCTGCAGCCTGGAGAGGGCGTTCTCGGGCAATCTCGGGCGATCTCGGCTCATCTCGGCGAGGGCGGAGGGAGGCGGTGGCGAGGGTGGCGGAGGGACAGGAGGTGGCTGCGCGTGGAAGAGTGACACGAGCCTCATCACCCTTGACCGCCAGGGCGCCGAAGGCGGGCGCGAAGTCGAGAGGAATGGCGCGCTGGAAAGCGAGACTCCCCGCGTCGTAGACGCGCAGGAAGAAACGCTCCCCCGGCGGTCCGTCGAACACCGGCGTGTCGACAGTGCAGATCAGGCGGCCGTCGACGACAGTCCCGGCACGCAGGGTGTCGCAGTGGCCTCCTTCGAGCCCTTCGAGAGGCACCTCGCGAATCAGGTCGAAGCCGGGCAGCGATCGGACCCGGAGAGCGGTGGAGTGCCAGCCCGTGACGTCGCCCGTGCCCGGCTCGGCGGTCAGCACACGCTGGTCGGTTGCGTGGAGGAGGCGAGATGCGTCCATTCGCACCTCACTTTTGACGGCCATGTTCTGATCCACGAGCTGGAGGGCCTGCCCGTCGGGCCCCCGCGATATGATCAGCCCCGCGCCCACCGAGGCCACACCCGAAACGAATCCTCCAGCCCTTGTGCCAGGTACATCTCGGTGCCTTCCAGAGGCAGCTGCGACCCAAGAGAAGAGGGTTCTATCATCGCAAGGGCAAGCACCGCCAGGGCGGCGACGAGCAGCTGAGTCACCGTCACGCCGCCTGAGGAGTGCGCAGTGCGACACGCCACCGGCGCAGCGGCCTCCTCATCAGCAGCGGCGCCCTTAAGGTTTGTCTCACACTCCTCCCGCTGGAAGGAGACGACCACGTGTGCGAGCAGGACGGGTCCGGCGATGAGCATGGGACGGACCCACTCGGGGCCGAAGACAGCAAACAGAAAGAGCACAGCGAGCGCCCACAAGGCAATCGAGGAGGGCACTCCGGGGGGCCCTCCAATCGAGCGCGTGGGCTGTGGTTCGGGAGGGGAAGGAGCAAGCGACGGTGGGACGTCGTCTTCGCCCACCAACGCCTGCTCGCACAGATTGATCAGTTAGAGAGAGAGAGAACACACACGTCACACCCCTCTCCCTTTCCTCCCACTAAGCTAAAAGCACGTACACAGTGGGTGAGGGCGAGGCTGCCCAGGGCCGAGAGGTGGTAGGGAAACATCTCGTTGCAAATGAAGGAGAGCCGCTCGTCGAGTAGGTACGTGGCCACACCGAAAGCCGAGGCAATCGACAGAAGGAACCCGGCCACCACCATGCACTTCCAGCGAAGGGGGCGCGGCATGGTGGCGGTTACCGCCCCGATTGCCCCAACTAATACGGTCCCGGGCAAACGAAAGATGTCCACGCTCTCCTTGGCGCGCAGAAGATCGTCCGCGGGGACGAGCAACAGTAGCGCCGTCAGCGGAAGAGGGTGAAGCGGGATCACGAACGCCCACGCGCGAGCCAATTCGTCGCCGCAGAGCAGCGCGTTGGACACGGAGAAGGCGGCCAAGCTGAGGCACACCGCGCCAAAGAAGACGGGGAAGATGGACGCCATCTCGCTTTGGTGCGCGGACAATGCGGCTCCGGCGGCGCCGACCGCGCCGAACACGAGGCTGAGCGAGAGGACGGGCGGCTCCATCCCCGGCCCCCTCGCGAGGAAGCCGACGACCGTGCCGTACCGCGGCGCTGGCGGCTCGGGCGGCGATGGCGGGAGCGACGTCGGAAAGGGGACAACCTCCTGCACGACCAGCAGGGATTGCAGAGGCACCTGCGGCGCCACGCCTGGCTGCGAGGCGCCGCCCTTAGGGGGGAGAGAGGGGGGGGGGGGTAAGGGGTGAGAACAGGGGGGAGGGAGGGGCGGGGGAGAGTGTGGGGTTGGGGAGGGGGGGGTAGGGGGCGAACGGGCAGGCTCCATGCGGCAGAAGTGGCTGCTGAGGCTGGAGAGGGGAGCGGGAGAGGGGGGGTGGGGGGGGGGGGGCAAAAATGCTGGATAGGCCCGGGAAAAGGAGGGAGGGCAAAAATGGCTGGAGGGGAACGGGAAAAGGGGGGAGGGCGACTAGGAGGGCGAGCCCGCTCCCCGCTCCGGGGGGCAACAGGGGCAGCGGCACCGGGAAAGCGACCTATGGGACATGG